GTGGGGGGGGGGGGGGGGGGGGGGGGGTGTCTGCACTATATTTACTGCTGTGTCTTGCTCTATGATTGTGAATGGTTCCTTGGTGAGTTTTAATAAAATTAAAGTTTTATGAGGTTCCAACAATAAAAAGAGGAAAATAGGATGGGATATACTGAGGTATAAGTACTGTGAACATGATACAGGGATCAATGAGTGGAGTCCCAGAGTACTTAGCCTATAGAGATCATTGAATTGCTATAGCATTTAAATCTAAAATCTTTCTTGGTGTAATCTTGATGGCAGGACAATGGGAATAACAGACGCACTACGAATGCAGATGGAAGTACAGAAGCAACTGCATGAACAACTTGAGGTACACAACTGATGCATGAGGTTTTACCAGAAGTTGTTGTTCTTTTCTTTCCTTTTTAGATGCTAACTTGGTAATTTTTCAGTAATTTTAATATATTTAGGATAAAGATGTTGATCCTACAGGTGTCATCTAGAAGAGGGTGAATAAGCTCGTAAAAATGAAAAACTAAGAAACAACAGTCTATAGTTCAGTGCTGAGAGTAAGATTACATGTACTAATAAGTTAACATAGCGAGCACAAGTACAAAGTGTTAGGGGAGTTGGAAATCACCTACTAAAGTGAATCTATTCAATTAAAAGCAAAGTAGATGTGTGAATGCAACTAACTGGATGCAAACGAATAGGGGGAGAAGAATGATCAAATTCAAGACGTGAACTGTTTCAGTTGACCTTGGGCCTACATCCACTACCAGGAGTCTTCCATATGGATTTTTAACTATTGTAGCAGCATTTCACTAAACGCTAATAACACCACAGATAGTGTTTTCTCAATTTGGCAAGCTCTGATCCTGTTTTGCAGAATTTAACCACTCCATAAAATTCTCAAATTGGCAGATATAATCATGAATCACTCGTAAGATTGCAGTCCAGGCTATCACTCGTAAGATTGCAATCCAAGCTATGCAAATAATTTTAACGAATAAGGGAAAGAATAATAAATTTAAAAGATGAGAAAATGATAAACTATAATTCTTGTTCTCTGATTCACTTCTTACTATATTTGCCCACATAAATACAATGTTATAATAAATGAATATAGACACTGGAGCTAATTATATTAGTTTCTGTGATTAACGCAAAACAAAAGAGAGAAATGTTTGAAAAATTCTTCTTGTTTGTGAAGTAGGGTGATCAATCATATTCATGAAGCTTTTGAACTTTGAGCTTAACCCAGCCAGAAAATAATTGAATTCAAACCTCGGGAAGGTTTAAAATCACCGATTGATTCAAATATATGGCTAGTGCATTAGTAACACATCATGGTATAACTTTTACACATCTAAGAAATAGATTTCGTTAGAAAACTAGTTGGTAGTCCCTATTGGATGATGACTCGTACATTTTTCGGGATTTCAAACCCAACATATATATGTCAGCCCTTGTTAGAATTCACTTAGGCTCTTGAGTCCTAACTATGCATTTGAAACATGAATTCTGGATTTTTAATTTGAATTTTGAATCTGATTCTGGACATTTTTGAGATCCAGTTTTGAATGTCTAAATGTACTTGGAATAATTGCTTAGTACATGTCATTTGTATATAAGGTATAATAATAGACTGTAAGTGTTTGAACTCATAACAATTTTGGGATAAAAGGAATCTCAGTCAAACAAAAAGGTGACACATATGATAGATTAAGAATATTAGATTCACTCCTTGTTTGGTTATTGATTTCGTTACAAAAGAAACTTAAAATAATATATATTTTTTTTGGGAACAGTGCATTATATTAATTTATCTCTTTTTGATAAATGGAACTGAAAGAAAATGTACTTTTTCACAAGGTCAAAACCACCAACAACGAAAAAGAAAAAATGGAAATGTAAAGTTAAATTAATTGTTGAAGTCCTAAGATTGTATCCATCGTATATAGTGTACATTCTTTTCTACCCCAATAGAATTTTCTAATGATTATTTAGACATTAGAAAGGTAAGGAAGTTATTTCCCTTGGAACTCCAGTAGGTCTATTTTTAGCCTTGACGCAAGTAATGCTACCTTTCTTTCCATTATTTTTTTCGGTGTTGCGCCCACATTATCTTGTAGTTGTACCATCCTTGACACCTCTAGATTGCCAATAACCGTGTGTGAACCCACCTGGTCGAAATATTCTCCATGCTTAGCATACCCACCTAACATTCCCAAAGCTACATCTTGGGTTGCATGGAACGGGAAAGGGAATACGACAAGACACGTGGGATTGTTATTCTTAAAAGAGTAGGAAGCTGAAATCAGTTAAAAAAGTATTCCTATACTTTTATAAATTTAATATTTAACTTAAAAAATTATTTGATAGGAAGTAGAATAATCTGAGAAATCTATGTCCCCTAGCTTTGGGGAGTGGGGAGATTAATAATGAGAGTACGAAAATCAATCTAATGTGAATAAAACAGATATACGATGTCATCTTAAAAAACTTATTCATGAGGAATAAATAATCAAATTAAAAAGTTTCACAAGTTCTCGAGTTAATTTATTAAAATTATGTAATTGCTATCAACATCCATAACACCATTGTCGGTGAATAACATGGCCTCCATTTATTGAATGTAGATCGTAATTAAGCCCTCATTTGGCCTCCATTTTCTAGAAATGAAAATGTAAGGAATAGAGGGTTTTCTTTTTTTTTTTTTTTTAATAATGAGTGGTAGGAGAAGAAGGAAAAATTTTTGATTTACGTATAATATTATTTTATGGAAGATTGTGGTTGAAAATATGAGAGAAAAAATAGAATTTAATGAAATGTAATAATTGAACACCTAAGATTGTTGTCAGCATAATTGAATTGTTTAGCATTTTAATGTTTTCATTGAGTTTGAAGTTCCCTTTCTAGCATAACAGTGCTATCAGAAAAGAGTTTAGCTGAATTGTGTGAAAAGTATATTAAATTATATAGAACGGCAAACTCTTAGCTATTATGCTGAGCATTAGATATTCACTGTCATAAAGAAGATTCATGTCTTCTACTCGGGATTGTACAAGTGCCATGATTTTCCCGCTTAAGATATAATAGCTCAACTGAAATCAAACCAACCTGAAACATAGGTTTATGTCAAATCTTTGTCTGGCTCGTGTCCAAAATAAGGACTCGGTTTGGCCTATTGCCTCGTGAACCGAGTTGTCCACGAGCTGCTAGTTTTTTTGTAATTTTTAAAAATCCGAGCTTGAGACCGGCTATCTTTAACATAGGTTGAGTTAATATTATACATGAGCAAGTTATTACATGTACAACTTTTCCTAAAAATTGAAAAAAATAAAAAAATAATAAATAATAAAAATAATTAAAGATAATTGTCGCAAACAATAATTAAAATTTATGAAGTCAGATTTTGAAGATCATTAGATTTTAATATGTCCACTTTATCTTGGAATTGGAACTCAGCGTCTTTCCAGTCTTTTAAACAATTCTGAACTCTCTAGTATGTTTTCTTTTTAGGTCTTGATCTAGTACCAACCACTTGCACTAAAAGTGGACTCCGATGCTAAATGAAGACCTGAGTTTTTAGTGGATCTTATAACATAGAACCAATTGGATATTGATGCTCGTTTATTCCACCACCTAAGTATGGCAAAAGTTTGTCGTGAGAAGTATGCCTAATCATTTCTAATGGTATTCCATTTGTACCTATATTCGTACCTTGGGTAAGGGAAGAAGTACTAGATTATTAATGAACTTAACAAGAACTAGTGTAGTTGAATAATGATATATTGTCATTTTTTATATCTTTGGGACGACGGACTAGCCCTTAGTACGAAGGAACAATGAACATTCCTACTAGTCCTTTCAGAATTTTTCAAAATTATATATTGAACGAGGCTAAAATTATAATTGGATTTTCTAGAGAACCTTTCTTTAATAGGGTTTCCTTGGCTTCAGTTTAAGATTAAGAGGGTATGTATAGTTGTTTATGTATCTTTTGTCTTAAGTTACAATTGAAATTTGTTGCCTAAATTTGTTGGAGTCGTGTAAAAATTCGACGCCACATAAATTAATAAGTGTGTAATTGAAAGTTGAAACAATGGTAAAATGCTTTGTTGGTCATCAATTTTTGATCGAGTTTGAGATGGTCCACATCCTACTAAACAAGAGCAAATTGAGTCCATTTTGTACTAACATAATTTCATAATGCTCCTAAAATTATACAACTTATCTTTATCCAACCAAGATCTCCCGTGAATTAATATGACTTAAAACTTATTTCCCGTTGAATGATTGACTCTAGTTATTGAGCATTGCCTAGCTCAAATATATCTGCACTATTGATTGAGAGATTTAAAGTTAAATATTTGATAAAATTAATTTGTATTCCACCATATTCTCGTAACCTTACAATCATTTTGTACTGACATAATTTCATAATGCTCCTAAAATTATACAACTTATCTTTATCCAACCAGGCTCTCCCGTGAATTAATATGACTTAAAACTTATTTCCCGTTGAATGATTGACTCTAGTTATTGAGGCTGAAAATATTTTTGTCGAGCTAAGTCTTCATGGAAGCTCATTTTGCAGTCCACGTAAGCATACAGATAGGAATGATTTCATTAAATGTCGTTAGCCACGGCTTTGTTTCCATTCCTCTTCTGTTGTATATGTGCAAATTTAAATTGTTAAAAAAATGAAAAATACAGTGATATTTGCATATCAGTTATTCCATCCGCGCTTGGTTGCTTTTTTTTTTTGGGTTTAGATGTATAAAACCATTTAGTCAGCAATGTATACCCACCAACCGAAGAAAAATAAGATAGAAGAAATATCTAATTTTACTAACTACTACACCATGCTGCTGATCATAAAGAAGAGTTTTCTAGTTTGTTCTCGGGTAAGCTTGCAAAACATGTTCGAGATGCATCTCCCTGCACTGTCAATTTATGCTTGCGTTCAGGCCTGCTAAATGAGTGTTTTTCGTATATTCAAGACTACAACTGATACATTGCCCCCAAAACATTCTGGCTTCTTGTGATCACATTGACTCGTTGACGAATAGAATTTCGACAGCATATTTGGTACTTGTGCAAAACAGGATTGAAGAGTAGAATGGACAATAGCACGTGTTTGAGCCCCATTTTTGGTATAAAATGTATTTTGGAATAATAGATCGATGGAGAATGTGTGGTTAAAAAATAAAGAAAAGTCTTAGTTTTACGTGTAATATTATTTCTTTGAAGAATGTGTGGTTGAAAAGAAGAGAGAAAAAAAATTTATTTTGAAAATAAAGGGGATCAAAGAAGGGCTTTTCACCTGTAAATTATTTTAACTGTAATACCTCTCTAGTATAACCCTGTGGTGACATTGTACTTATAGGGTGATGCATGCTAAACAATTCCATTTTATAGGAAAATAATCATTGGCATCATATGCTTAGGAACACACACAATGACCTTCTACATTCTCTTTAAAAGGACTATCTCAGTAGTTGAAGTGAGAGAACCACCTCTAAAATTTTTCGTTTAAAAGGCCTAATTTAGTCACCAAATGTCTAAGGTAACCTCAATAAAAAGGACCATTTTCTTCGCCGGTTACCTCATTGTTTTTTTTTTTTTGGCTAACTCTAAATCACTTATTTCTTCAGATTCAACGAAAACTGCAATTGCGAATTGAAGAACAAGGAAAACACCTTCAGATTATGTTTGAACAGCAGATGAAGATGGAGAAGGAAAAGGAAAAGCTGAAATCCAATTCGCCTTCCCTTGATAAGGAGAAACCCGAACCCGCGGAACTAGTGGCTGCTTCAAGTGATGCCTTCATTTCAGCGGCCGAACATCCAAATGACATGCAAAAGTCGCCTGAAAGGAATAATGAACTGAGTCGACCAACAAAACGAGCCAAATCTTATGAAACCGGAGTACCGGCGCATCATCTTGATTAACTTTTGGATTGATTGTGACTTTTTCCAACTGGCTAGGCATCGATGGATGGGACTGATTTGAATAATGTGGATTTGCTTAAAACTACAAGAACCTGAATCTATTTCTCTAGTATTTTGTAAATAATTAAGTAGTTTTATTCATTCAGTTTGCATTAGAATGGTATTGCTTATGAAATGAAGGATTATTTATGGTATTAAGAATTTGAATTAGTACTGCTACTGGCATGGTTTTGATTGCAAACTGAAGTACAATGTTGTCAACAGGGTCGTTATTTTTTGTTCCAAAATTAAGCCAAAAAGGCCAAGTAGAATGTGGTGAGTGAGTGATTCAATTTTGATAGGAAAAACATAATAGAATTTGAGTACTTCGGCATGGAAATTTCGTTGTTTTTTTCGCTCGTGATAATTTGAAATTAAATATTATTATATTTTTTCACACATTTGTTGAATCAATAAATATACTTTGCGAGCCTTGCCCTCCGCTTGCGAAGCATAAGCGATACGCGATGAATAAGAATACGAAAGAAGCTCACATCAAATATGGGCGGGTCATTCGACATTTAAGCTGATTAAGAACTGTTATTAATGTGCATGTGAGCAAGTATTCAAAGCGTGACTTCAAAGTTGATGAATGAAAGACACGTAAACTAATGAATAAAAAGGAATACCATAACAAAATCAATTATAAGTTAACTAAAAAGAACCTGTCCTGTCATTTTTCCTAAATGATCAAATTGCCACAAAACATTGAGTGAGATCCGCCTTAAAATAAGAAAATCATGTAAATTCAAATATCTCCCTATTCGAATAGTCATTTCCCCTTGTTTCTGTTTAAGCATCAAAACCAGAGAATTTAGGGAGAGAAAATCATGTTCAAGTGATGGGAATTTGTTGATCTGAATTTTATCATCAACAAATTGACACCGTCTATGGTAAATCTGAGCAAAGTAAACCATGAAAATCTCTGACATATTTCACCTCGTAATCCACATAAAATGAGTCAAATGAAAATGAATCTAGAAGAAAGAATGGCGCCGAAAATTGAAATCAAAGGATACAGTAGTGCTGATCTAGTGAATAGCCATGCGAATCTGAAGCGGCAACAAGAAACACTTGCAAATCACAAGCCGGCATTTCTCCCACTTAACGTCATCACTTTAGAAAAAAGATGTCCATCGTAATAAAAGATAGAATGGAAAATGTCAAACGAACATAATGTTTGACACAAAGGATGACATCACACTCACAATCGAGGCATGGGTCCCGTGCGAATAAAATAATGCCGACCTCCCCACATGTGTGCTATGTCAACCGTTGTGTAAGCCCCTATGTTCGTGTAGCACGACCCAAGATAGAATAGGTTCGCACAGAAAAGCTCAATGGTAAAACCTCGAAATATTCTTCTAAACTGCCAAAGCAGCAATACTTGAGTTTCGATGCGACTAAAGGCAGGGTGCGTGCAATATCTCTAGCCCTTCCATAGGCCATAGGCAAGAAATCACCTCTTCTCTAGGAATCAAATAACAAAGTTCTGTAAAAATCCATCGCACTAAGGATCAAAATACAAATTAATGCCATGAAATACTCAAGATGGCCAAACTACAAAGTCAACAGGGAGGTTTGCATGGAGTGGTTGATGGTAAAAGACCACCTTATCCAACCAGGGTGTATGGTCGAGAAATCAGGTCAAGGCAGACAGAGCCAGCATGAGCACAAACACTAGTGAACACTTCAAGCTCTCAACCTCTAGTAAGTAACATTAAAAACATAATTGGGGGGCCTTACATAAGCAGCAAAACAATGAAAGCAAAAAGCAACTACGCTCAAGCCGTTAAAAAGCCTGCGTTGGAAGTGTTTTGGATTCGAGGTAATCCTAAACATACATCTCTTCCAATTACATCTAATAGTGATGATTGATGAACAGGGAATTACATGTCCCTAGTGTGTGAACCATGATAGCTCGTAACGATCTTAACTGCATGCTAGCGAATAATAGTAGCCCTGTGAATATTTTGTCTAGAAGTGCATTTGATCAAATACAGGTCGTTCACCTTTAGGTATTGATGGCTGAACCTTTTTATGTTTTTATTGGAGATAGTTTGATCCCAACAGGAAAGGGATCTTTGGAAGACCCTCTTTAAAGCAACTAAAAGTAGTAACATCTATCCATTACGTATGCATGAAATTCGAGACTCTCCAAGACAGTATCAAAGGAAATCAACTGTTGCGCAAGAATGTTATTTCAGTACCTTAAAAAAAGAAACCTCAAAGCCCCCAGCCTGGTAATACTATACTGGTTATTGAAAGAAAGAAATACTTTCTTGAAAACCCTTGTTTAATAAAACAAGTACCTGATGCTGTGAAGGGTAGGTTGAGAGACTTGCCCACAGGAAAAGATAAACTCGCAAGTAATAAAGGAAGCGTAGATCTCGAAATACAAATTGAGAATGGACGTGAAACTAAGTCACAGCAATGAAAACACTATGAGATATCCAAACATGAAAGCTCTTTTCTGCGAATTTGTTGAAAGATAATCAAAGGTGAGTTTCATTCCGTTAAAGAAATTTTAACTAAGGGCGAAGCTTATTCTACTAAGAAACACGTGGATTAAATGTCACCCCAAAAAGAAGTTATCAAAGGTGAGACCATGTCCACCTGCATTCGAAGCTGATAAGCTCGCACGAGAAAGTATTATTTTATCGGAAGGCCAAAGCAAAAGATAGGATAATAATCCTTCATCCATTGTTTTACTAAGAATGATTAATAAAATTCTATATGCAATGAATCGTGTTGTTGATATGAAATTGTTTTAAATACATCTACACGAAGCATAATTAAATATAAGTAAAGTAGAGCCAGCATAAATAGATGGCCAAATGAGAAATGAAATGCAAAATCGCAATAAAATTTCATTAATTGTCAAATGCCCAGTTTTATACAAAAGAGATATGAAATTTCATTATCGCTAAATGATAAAATAAAAAATAGGCGATCTTTCAAAGTAGATCAATCAATGGCTAAAGACTTCCGAAAGAAAGGTCGTTTTGGTTAAGTGGGGTGTTAGTGCGAATTTCGCAAGCATACAGGATCGTTGATAAGTAATAGATTTAGTTAGTTGAGAGTACCGTCCTACAGGGAATAACTTCAATTCAAATTTACAAATTATGTATGAAATTCTAATTATGTAAAACAAAAGAGAATTTGATTTTGTGATTATTCTAAATTAATATAAGAAACAATAAAAGTTTGGTTTTTGTCAAATTATAGATGATTGTATTAGATTTCGAATCCGTCTATTGCAATATATTTCAATTCTTGATTTGTAATCAAGGTCTATTTATGTGTTCTTGACAATCGATAAAGCTATGATGTATAATTTTTTTTTAAGACAAATTAAATCTATCCTAACCACGACCTGAATTTATTTCTAGCCCGCATTCGAATGGTTAGAATGCATTACAATTTTGATTATCTATATGACTGCACACCTGATAAAATGTTATTCCTAACATCTATTGCACATATGTTAATTTTGCTGCATTCTAAATTTATTGTGAGTCTTTCAATACTACAACATGTAGCTAATTATCTAACTGATGGCCAAACACTTAAATAATGCAATGGATGTACAAAATTAATCAAGAAACACAAGAATTAAATTAGATTAATAGTCTTGAACTAGAAATAAATAACAAATAGGGTTTATTTGCATTCAATACAAAAGCAGATCTAGCCTAACATATTAATATATAAACTACAAGAGGAACAATGAAAAAAATATAAAAGATGTTGATCTTCAAGTACAAAGCTGAATTCTTCAATTTCTTGATATAATTAGACTGTAATTCTTGTTAGGGCTTGATCTTCTCTCACAAAATATAGTAATTGGCCCTTGTTCTTGATGAATTTGATGATACTCTTGTGTATAAAGAGGCAAAAAGGTTTTTTTTTTTTTTAAATGTGTAACCTTTGCTCTCTATTTATAAGAGCCAAAAAATAGTCAAAATCGCGTCCAATTTGGATTCCAAAAGAGTTTGAATAACAAAAGGAAATTGCTGATTCTTCTGCAGAAAAGGCCTACGCACTCGCACAGGTGCCATTGAAGCATGTGGCTC